GAACCCACCACCTTAGGTGTACATGGCTGGCACCTTAGCCGGTTGAGCTATAGGCACCGAGCCTAATAGCCATTTCTTATGTGCATGTTGGTAAGTCTATCTTGCTTGTTCAAAATTAGGATTCCTCCACTGCGGAAGGATGTTGGTAAATATTTATTTTTTGTTAGTAAATATTTTAATTGATATATAATAGTTGTACATATTTATGGGATACAAGTAATGTTTTCACACATGCATACAATGTGCAATGATCAAATCAGTAACTGGGAAGCCCATCTCCTCAAACAATTATTCATATTGGAAACATTCCAAACCTATTTTGAAATAGACAATAGATTACTGTTAATTGTTAGGACATTTGTGAAAGTATCTTAAACTGCTTTCTTGGACAAAAAATAATTTCAACGTAAATAGATACAAACTTCCACTATATATTTCATGAAAGCCAGTAGAATCATTTTTTTTAATTCAAGGATCTAAAATTTTGCAGCATTAGGAACTTTCAGCATCTGTATTGTTCAAATGGAAATTGTTCTTATGCCTAGCATTTTTTAAATCTTGCCTAGGGCAGGGCCTGTGGCTCAAAGGAGTAGGCGCTGGCCCCATGTGCCAGAGGTGGCGGGTTCAAACCCGGCCCCAGCCAGAAACTGCAAAAAAAAAAAAAAAATCTTGCCTGTATTTCTACTTGTAGCATGTTCGGCTGTTCTGTTTTCTGTTTTATCTATCTCGTGATACTCCAGAGACGGCCCATATGTCGGCAGGCATGTCTATGTGGATCAAGTTCTTTACCCTGTGTACAAGGAACTAACATATATATAGAATGTATAGGATAATGTGGTCATTTGGGATGAAGGCAAGGAAAAAGCTGCATTTTGTCTAAAATTTTCCTACTATGAAGGCAGTTAACGTGTGTATGATTTATATAAAACAAAAATGGCTCCAAAAAATATACAGAGTGCTACTTCCATTCATCCTATTACAATGCAAAATTATACTTGGCTGGTAATTTTCAAATGTTTTGTTGACTTGGGTAAAGAGAAACACATTTTACCTGCACAGAATGCTTCAGGACACTTTCTGCATGGTTACCAATCTGCCAAGTATGCTGATGACCAATGTCCTGAAGTAACTGACAATTCTTTGGGCCTGTAGACCAGCGGTTCTCACCTGTGGGTCGTAACCCTTTTGTAATATTGAAAATACATCTCGGCATTAGGAAGGTTGAGAACCACTGTGTAAACACTGGGCTGACCTCGAAAAAGGATCAACTTTGAATTCAGCCAGCTTGTTTCAACTAATAGGGGAGACCAGAATCTTTGTCAGCAAATACGTTTTAGAGTAAGTATACCAGAAACACACTTAGGAAACATTTTATTAAGTACTGTAAACAGCTGTGTAGATAATAAATGCATACAGCTATGCCAAGAGAATTGTGTCTTTAAAGAAACAAGTGAACAGGATGTACAAAGTCTTCCAATTGTGCAAGATTTCTTCTTTTTTTTTTTTT